ATTTTCAGATACCACTGATGTATGCTATTATGAGAAAGAAAAGGGAAGAAGACTATCTAGTGATTTTTCAAAAACTTAAGGAAATAATTGCCTCCAGCGCTGAAGTGCAGGAGCCAGAACTTAGGATTGTCACTGATTTTGAACTCGTATGTTATATTATGTCAGATGAGGCACAGAAAGTTGGGGTGCAGAATATGATCCACCCGACCGTCCATGCTTCAGGCAGAAATCAATGCCGCGTCAAGAATCTTCCCAAGGTGTTCCATCGAGGGCTGCAGTTGGCACTTAAGCCAAGCGTGGGTCCGAAAAAGGAACACCTTGGGGATCCTTCGATTTTTGAGAGGTAATGCCAAATCCGTGCGGGTGCTAAGATGGTGGAGGACGCTAAAAGGGCTACCATTCCTTCCTCAAGACTGCTTCCACCTTGTAAATGCCCTAGTGACGCCTCCCGTGAGCGTGGCCCATGCAGCCTACGAACCGTGCCAAAAATTTTTGAGATATTTGGAGGAGACCTGGCTGCAGGGACCATTCGCCAACATGTGATGCAAATATATGGTTCATGTGGAGAGAACTACCAATACAGCCGAAAACTACCACGGGTACTCATAGACATCAAGATTCTTACTTTATTTCCATTGATACAGTTGATCTTGCAGGAGACTGAGGAAGATTATAGGAAAAAAGTACCCCCCGCTCGCAAAATTAATTCTTGCGTTTCGTAGTTTGACGATCGTCACTAAAGCAACACTGCAGCGGATGGAGCAGTTTCGACACGAGTCGAGAAAGTTGCGAAAGAGAGATCGCATTCGAAGAGAGAAAGTGGACGAAGAAATGCGACGGTTTGAGGAACTCAGGAATAGACCATACCTTACCACCGTGGAGGTAGCTAGATACTGCAGGCGAATGTCGCGCTTTACATCGGATAGAGCGATTTGATCAAGAGTTATCAACACTCTAAATGTTGAGATATATATCGTCGAGTTAGTTAGCAACTCTTCTGTTGTTCCAAAGGAGTTGGTTGAGAGTGAGTTACCTCATGAATTTCGCGATACTGACTGGACTTGTTTTCTAACCAGGTGAAACAAATTTGTCTTCTAAATAATTCAGCATCTTTAAGTTTTTCAGAAACTATATGCACTTTCCGCGTTTTCTATGCCGGTTACCTAGATGAGTTAATAACATAGTTACCGGATTGCTATTTATGTGCAGATTAGTCTTACATGCTAAATTACAGAACCTTCCCGTATTGCCAACGGACGAAATTTGCGAGTTCCGCTGCCTATGCTAAGAACAGGCTACTGCAGTGGCTGGATCCCACATTCGATACTTTTTGTAGTAGGCGGTTTCCCTGAAGCTAAATTTTGAGTTTTTTTGGTAGTAATTTCAAGCAGCATCTTATTGTGTCGCGATCATTCTTTCTTTAGGTGACAGGTAGCCTAGTCTGCATTTCGTGGAATGACGGCTTCCCATAGGATAGGATACTCACACATGAACTGCCATTCCGATTGTCAACAACGCATGTTATATGCAGATCGCTCGACCGGAGTCCCAGTACAACATTATTCGCCTTGAGCTTTTACGTACTTGCGCATATTCACGCACTATCACTTTCATTCGAGGTGTTTTCTTTGTTTGCACTCGTTTTTATGTTGCTGTTCGTGTTTTTGTCGATTCTCTTACTGCTGCAATTGCGATTGTCTTTCACAAATTGCATTTTTCATTACTTTCTACTTTGCGATTTGCTTCTTAATGCGATTCCATAAGTTTAGTGATCCTATGATGCTGTTCGTTTTCGTTGATTATGCTACTGCTCAATTGCGATTGTCTTTCGCACATTGCGTTTTTCATTACTTTCTACTTTGTGATGTGCCTCTTAATGCGATTCCATATGTACAATGATTTA